GAGTGCGAATGAGTTTCATATTGAGTTTCGTGCTTGGTTACCTTTTTTGGCCATTTATGTAAATGAGATGATTCTCAACGTATTTTACGCATTTGCACAACAATGTTTACAATCAAGCTTTATTTTATAAACTATACACATGAAACTATTTTTGTACACTTAAATGAAAACCTGAGTACTTTTATATGAATTATGAATGATATAGCGTGTCGTGTGAAATAAAACTGCAACAGCAATGTCTGGGTAGAGTGAACTATCAAAGGAACCTGTCTAACACATTTGATAATAACATGAATTGTACAATAACGTCATACTAAAATTAACAGGTTGTTCACACGTCTTTTGTCTTGTTGGTTAGATTCTTCTTTTCTTTCTTGCAAGATTTCTGGCAGCTGCAGTCCTCTAAGACAGACAAAAAAGTAAACAGTTGGAAAATTAATAATTATTATTAATTAAGCTCAAATATGTTATTTCTTAGATTTTGTTACAGTCTAGTACCACTGTACCTTTGCCATGGGTCGCCTTGGTTTCTTAAACTGTGCAGACTCTGTTTAGAGGAAAGTCAGCAGTGTAAGTCTTTTGTTCAATTTTATGTTTTGTTTTGTTTTAGGGTGAGGGTTTAAACAGCAGCAGCACATCCAGGGTAGGCGATCAGTTTTCCCAAGAGGAACACATGTGAAAGTGGGACTGTTGTGGAGGGCTGCATCTATTATGTGAACTTAATCCTGCTCAATATAGATTTTATCTGCCTTTCACAACAGCCCAAAGTTCTACAACAGAGTATTTGCGCCACATTAACAAAAAGAATATTATTCACTTTGAGAATAAAGTTGAAATGTGAAGATACAGGCTGTTGTTTCAAGCTAAACAACTCCCACGGCTGCTATACCCGATGCCCAAAAATGCCTTTGTAGTGGAGTTGGTGAAAAAACATTATCAGCTGTCTTACTGTGGCTTATGACACAGCATACGTCCTCTTTAATGCGAGAATGTGTAACCATTGATATCCTTGCATTTCTAACTTGACAGGCATGTCATTTTGAATAAATCCAGACAACTTTTCTGAGTTTGTGTGGTTTTTCCTTTGATCAGATGAGGCTTTCTGCACCATCTCTTCAACGTCCTCATACCCATCAGCACACTGTGTTTATGTGCTAAAAGAGAAATAATTTCCTTGCTGTTAAAACCAGTTCTGAAGTATGATTTCAGTCATTCATCAACACAAGGCATTTCGCAGAGTGTAGCAGCTGTGGCAGACTTGAAACAACAGCTTTAATCAGCTTTGTACTCTCAAAATGAATATTTTTTTCTTAATATAGCCCCCAATACTCCTTTGTACAGTTCTCATGTGGCTTCTTGAGAAATATGGATCACCCAGCCCTGATAGACTCACCGTCTTCAGAAGGCAGATCCTCTCCTTCATATATTTTCTTGGGAGGATTCTGTAACCAAGTGTTTAAGAATATTATGATAAACTGCCTGTTGCATTTGTAAACAGGATTGAGACTGTTATAAAGATATCATCCAGTACTTAAACAGTCCCCTTTCTGTAGCCTACCTTCTCAATTTCCTTCTCTGGAAAAGCCCCCTGAGAAACCTGCTTAGTCTCCCCCAGATGATTTCCTTTCTGAAGTTTCTCCACCCGATCCTGTTCTGCTGACACAGCTATTTTCAAGGTGTGAAAGGGCGTCTCCACCTCACCAACCCTGAAGTTCACGGCCACGCCTTCAAACCACAGACTGTCACATTCGCCCTCCTTGAAACCAGGCGGCTGGTAGTCAGCAGGGGTGACTTTGAAAGAAGAGCACAGTATAATATTTTTAGTTTTTAGTAGGAAAATTCTAGTCTAAAAGACACAAGGATATTCATTAAAAGTAAGTATCCTACTCTCATCATAGTAGTAGAGCTTCATGGTCAGGTAGACGTTGCTGGGGAGGACGTCCAGGTTCTGCATAAGCAGAAAGAGCTTCCTGATGAGAAGCACCAAAGCCTTTTTGGTGTCGTCCATGGTCACTTGCATCTTTATACCGTTGTTCCTATGGTTGCACAGAGGTTATATCAGCTTCAGCCAGTCAGCTGGGTAGGGCTCAGTCTGTGTGGCATGCTTAAACTTATTCCTACCTGAGTATGTCCATCTCTGGTCCCTTTGCACTGTATCTGAATTTGAAGTGGTAGGACTCAATTATCCGCTGCAAAGTAAGACAATGATTCATACGTTTTTTTTATCATTTCCGATCAGGCCACATGCTGCTGTAATTTGAATATTCAGTAATTTAACAGAACTTACATTGGGTTCATCAGGATCAGCGCAGACCTGGATTGTAACAATCGTAAGTTTTAGACATGTCTATGTAACCGGGAAATTGTCTCTTTCATGTTACATATACACTTACCCCAATGAACACAAGCTGGAGCTGTCCAGAGAATAACATACAAAATAATAAAATTAACAAAAATATTAACGGCACCGCACATTATTACATATTTCAACAGTTGAACAATAGGCTCGACTTACATATTGTTTCTCTAATGCATCGAAACAGCCCATCAACCTGAACAAAACAAATAAGGACACTTGCAAATATTAACCAGGGTAATAAAACTCTCCTTCTATACATTTTCTTAGCATTAAAGCAGGGATTTTATATTTACCATTTCACAATTTTGGCTGCACCAGGAGTGTTGCAGTTTTCACGCAAGATTTTGATGCAAAAATCTGGCAAAACAACAAAAAGAAAACAGCCTTTTATAGTCAGTGAATAAAAGTAGTAAGACAGAGATTTGTTGGCTTCACATTGATGATTTGAATCTCTGGTAACACCACATCCCAAAAATGCTCTTTAGAGGCCACTGGAATACAGTGAACTCATTGTTATGTACGAGTTTGAAATTATTTGAGTTTTGTGGTAGGAACATACGTCAGAGACTATACTAAAGTAAGCTGTGTCATTTAAATTTAGCACACTTTGAGGGATTTAAGAGGCCCAAACAATAATACAAGGGAGGACGGATCCATGCTTTCATATTGTTGAAGCTAAATTCTGAACCTACCACCTGAAATTATCAGACCAGGAAACGTTTTTAATTGAATAGGTGTATTTTACCTTATGAAGCATCCAGTAAGTGTACATTTTTTCACCGAATACTGATTTTATTAAACTCCTAGCTAGTTTCTCTGAATGTTCACCTTCCAGATATCTGGATCTGTAGGCATCCTCTGGAAAAATACCCCTGAGATAGGTGATAGAGGAGACAGCCACGACCATCATCCTTTTCACAAAGAGTAAAGACTCCTGCGCAGATTTAAAGTCGTTCGGGAATAACTCCGTCCACTTTAAATAAAAGAAAAGAAAGGAGAAAACATATTCACAGTCATATCATGGCCACAAGATGTCGCCATTGACTGCCTTAAACATCTTCCAGCACAGATCCGTTAAACAGGAACTTAGAAATACAAACATTGAGTAAATAACACCTAAAATATGGCATTTTTATGTAGTGAATTCAAACCTCGGCAGTTTCCTCCTTATTTTTCTTCATGCACATCTTCCCAGCTGCCATTTTCTCCTTCTTTCCTTTGGCCGGAGGTTAGCTAGGTGGTACTACTAATCAATAAACGAGCTAGCAAGATAAACAAACAATATTAAATTTCGCCAAAGTATTCTTCTTAACAAAGCTCTTATGCGATTTTGGTTGTTGTTTCGGGAAGCTTATTACCACGGTGAGCAGGTAAGAAAGGAGTTATTAAATAATTAGCCGTGACCAGGCAGGTGTGGGGGGGAGCGCTAGCAATTTCCCGCCCAAAACATGGCGCATGGCCTGTATTTATACAGCGCTTTACTAGTCCCTAAGGACCCCAAAGCGCTCTACATATCCAGTCATCCACCCATTCACACACACATTCACACACTGGTGATGGCTAGCTACACTGTAGCCACAGCCACCCTGGGGCGCACTGACAGTATTGGTATTGGTCCAGTTACTGACTGTATTGGTCCAGTTTTTCTTAACTTCGTAGGAAAGCAACAAGGTCAGGGAAACTGACCTTACTTTAAAATATAGGAATAAAAAAATTGTTAAACCATAAAAAAAGTTTTTAATTTTTCAAATTCTTCACAAATAATAGGTTTACATAGGTCTATTTCTTCGAGTCAAATACATTAAGACCAGACCAGGGGCGGCAGAACTGGCCTGTAAAGGTTCCAGTCCAACCCACTGGAATGTTCTGGAAAATGTGAAGGAGGACATAGATGTATTTTTAACTGTATTGTTAAAGGTTTTACAGCTGTTATTACTGATAAAGACCTCTCCTGTGGTCATTCATACTATGCTAAAGTAATAAGTGATACACAAACAATTTTAAAAAAACAAAAAAAACCCCAGAAAATATCCCGTTTGTATGATGTAATTTCACAATGGCTCCTTGCAAGAAAAAAAGACATTTTCTGTGAATTATAAACTACTTTTCTGGGTAAAACTGAGACATACTGTTGAAAATGCAATTATTTTTCTTATATAAAGTGGGGTTAAAAATGTAGTCATAGTGGGTTCACCGTATATAAATGGGCTGTATGTAGCCCACGATGTATGAGTTTGACATCCCCGATGTAGACCAGTAGGCATGGCCATTACAGGCACTTTCTTTTTGCCAGCTTTACATTAACTGGATAAGTATGGTGTAACAATTATAAATAATAATTATATCCTTGTGTCTTTTAGACTAGCAAAAAAAAGAATATGTAATAGAGAAGTTCAGTGAATCCAAAACACTTAGCCTAAACATAGCATTGATTTCACTACTTTTTCATCCCTTGACAAATTCAAAGTGTCTGCTGTGAGGTCTGTTGAAAGAAAAAAATAGATTCATTGTTAACTTACACTGGCATTTTCAGTTGTTTGGACAGTTGGTGTTAAAGTTTGTGGATAAACTGTGTTGTAATCAAACAGCTACTATATATTTATAATGTGTGACGTGGGTGTAAGAAAACTGACAATTAAGAAAAAATGCAAACTGTTGTTTGCTTTATTAAAGATCTTCATACATGGACATAATTCAGCATTGGCCTGTTTTTGTTGTTTAACCGTGTGTTATAACTGTTGACTGAGGAAAAAGATGCAATAAATATAAAGGAATCATAGACTCTCTTGTGCTATTGTGTAATTTATAACGTATCTGAGTAAATGTACATCATTCCAAAATATTCTTAATGTGCTTAACAATACCATAAAAAGTCGTGTAAGCGTGATACATAAATACATAATAGGCAGGTGAATTTCTACTTAATTTCAGTGAAATGCTTCAGACAGTTTGGTCCTTTGTATGTAACAAAAATGGGGAATGACATGAGAGAACAAACACACATTTGGTTCTGTCAGACCGTGAAGCATACAGCATACATAATTGCAGTGTTTTAACACAATTACATACTTTGGTCTAAGTGCACTGTTCACGCTACAAACAACAAAACACAAACAGCACATCAACTACAACAGCTGGCTCACTCGTCCACAGGCACAACGGCTTCAGTAAATATTGTTCGAAATGTAATCACAAAATGAAATCTCCTACAGCAGATAGCAGACTCGGGCCATGGGCTTATTACTGCTTGGAGAAGAAATCTTTGCTCTTCTGGACGTCAGGTTTGATGGTGTCATTTCCTGGTTTCCAGCCGGCGGGGCAGACTGAAAAGATAAGACTATAATGAGTCCTGGCTGGTAGATGAAATGCAGGTGTGCAAAAGTGACACACATATTGCACCTTAAAAATAAACCAACTCTGTTCTGCATGCAAAAACAGGCAACTAAAATGACAGTTTGTGAGATCATGATACATTGCGCAGATTAGAGTGCAAACCTTTGAATTTAAATAAGCCTCTGTGGTCTTTGCACTCTCTGCACACATTATTTCTGAAAAACCATTAGCTAGTTTACATTCAAAAGTTATAATTTGGTAAAAAGCTGATTTTCACTGCAAGTAAATGTGAGCTGTAGAAAGCAGGGCGAGAAAACAGAATTTAAAATCAAGACCCAGAATGCAGACATTACATGGGCACAGCAGAGCACCATACCTTCTCCGTGCTTATCTGTGAACTGAAAGGCTTGAACCAAACGCAAGGTCTCCTCAACAGAGCGTCCAACTGGGAGGTCGTTTATGGTGATCTGTCTCAGGGTGCCCTTGTCGTCAATGATGAATAGACCCCTGTAATAGAGAGAATTATCAGCTCCTAGGTCTCCTTTAAAAATATTAAGACCAGCCCTTTGAGGACTCCACATTATTAGACTCACCTGTAGGCGATGCCCTCATCCTCTTTCAGGACCCCGTAATCTTTGGAGATGGTGCGCCGTGTGTCAGACACCAGGGGGATGTTCATGGCACCCAGACCACCCTGCTTACGCGGTGTGTTGACCCTGCACAGTCACCAAAAGATAGTATGAGGACTTAATAAAAATGAATATGGTCACTGTGAATGTGTAAAATACAAAGCTTTTTAAATACCAAGCGAAATGGGAGAAGTGTGAGTCCACTGAGGCGGCAATGACCTCACATCCAATCTTCCTGAATTCATTGGCAGCATCACTGAAAGCGATTATCTCAGTCGGACAAACAAAGGTGAAATCCAGCGGGTAGAAGAAAAACACGACGTACTTTCCTGTACCAAAGCATTAAAAAAAACACCAATGAGACTAGTGAATGCATCACTTTAATTAATTCTCATCTTTTGTAGTGTAAATGAATCTCTGCTGAATATGCTGCAGGATCACAAAACAATGAATCGCAGAGAGGAGGACCATCAAAGCATGTCAAACAGAAGGTGAGACGCAGGTTGTCCTTTACCTCTGTAGTCTGACAGCTTCAGATCGTGGAACTGTCCATCCGGCATCACCGCTTTGGCAGTGAAATCAGGGGCCGGCTTTCCAATTTGTGCATTGCCTGCAGACATCTTGAATCTGATTGGATTACAGAAGAAGAAAGCAGTCGGTATTACACTGTGCTGTTTCTGTGTGCAAAAGGTCTTCCTTATTTGCAGAACAAGGAAAAGTTTCTGTTATGTGAAACACCCACCAACACTGTTTTTATGTGACTAACACCTCTTCACTAGAATGTATATAGATATATATGTTATTTTTTATGTTGTATGTATGTACCGTCACAAAAAACAAAGTTTACACCGGTTCTCCTCTCCGGCTAAATTACCCAGATGGTGTTTTATCCATCCAAAGGGCGTTTGTGAAAGTAGGAAGGAAAATCAAAATCTAGAAAACAGGATTAAATGAATCCAAGAAGAGAAATTTCAACTACAGGAGAGATTTTTGGAAGTCCAAAGTGAACACTTTGAAGAAATGCACAATTTCTCATGAACAAACAAGACCAACAAATTAAAAATACGCAATACCAGCAGAACATTCAGATTATAAATGAAGGTTGGGGAATAATGTTTGGTCAAGCACGGCAGCAGATTATAAACCTGATGAGAGAAAACAAGAACAACAGCACACAATTAAGAGAAATGTCCTACCACCTTCAAGAAACAGAAGCTATAGTGGAATCTCATACAGTGGCACTGTAGGAATTAAATAAAACAAGCAGACAAAAAACAAAAGTAAAATTCTCGCCCTTTTTCCAGTTCAGGTTTGGTTTTAAATCCGTATTTGTGTCATTTAACCCACATTAGTTCCTTTAAACTTAACCTAGGTTTCTTTAAGTCAATATTAGTCAACTCAGTTCTAAGTTTAGTCCAAATCAAAAACAAAGAATGAGCAGTTCTGAAGGTCGCGCTTCAATGGGAGACGATGGAGGCAACATGGGAGGCTTGGCCACTTGGTTGGTGGCGAGCTTGGAAGGAGCAGGACCTCACAACGGAGCGCACACTGCGGGCACGGACCAAACAGGACCCACCGGCTCAAGCTCAGGTGCTGGCATCCGCTGCCCCGGACCTTTGGGCTCTGGACAGGGTTCAGGACTAGACCATGTGGTGACCTCTGGCTCGGGTTCAGAACCAGGACCAGATGGTGCTGAGACTTCTGGAGCAGCACCAGATTGCTCAGGGTGGGGTGGGTGGGGAACTGGTGACTGAGGCTGATGCTGAAGCCTGACCACTCTCTCCCTGGGGACAGGAACTGGTGAAGGGACAGGCTGGACCCTAATTGCCCCCACTCTGGGAATTGGTCCAGGGACAGGGCAGATAGACAAAGAGGCTGGAGAGTTAGTGGCAGTGATGACAGCCTAAACCCATCAACTGTTATCGTTGGGGAACTGAGCAAAGGAAAGGCAGTAACGCTTGCAGCTTGGATGCTACGAGGCCCTCCTAGAGCCAGGGTACACCAAGCTTCCTCCCTCGTCAACTCACCCAGATAGGATGCCTGTTGCCGATTCTTTACTAAATTTGCTGGGTCCATTCTGTGGTCACGTCATACTGTCAAGAGGTGCTGGAATCCTCAGACAAACGTAAACTCAAAATGCAGCTTTATTAGATAGCAAGGTGGCAGCCTTAGCCTTCTCCTTTACAAGGAGGGGTAGCAGTTCTACTCTGAAACCTTCCCAAATGACTTAACTTCTCACCCTATCGCTAAGGCAGAGTCCATCTGCCTTTTGGAGAAAACTAATTTTGGCTGCTTGTATCGACAATCTCATGCTAATAGTGTTAACAAAAAGATGAGGCCTAGATTAAAAGATCTATGCACCATCTAGTGGTAGAAGGCAGCATAATAATTAGGACAATAATTTACTGCCATTGGATATCGATTAAAATTTTAACAGTTAGATTATAAGACTAGTAAGTCTGGTAGCGACTAGTCACAACAACGACAATTAGTTGCCTAGGCGACAAGTGGCGCACATCCCAAGTATAAAGCTTGCCACAATCAAAGTAGTTACAAATGAATCTTTTAGTCAACCAACCAGCTCAGTTTAAATACACTTATCACTGACAAGGTCCTTTAAACAATGAATGCATTTCTTGATGCATGCTCAATAATCCAAATAAGTAAACCTGAGTGATATGATGTGTGGAGCTTATAACATAGAAATCAGTCAATGAAGTGAAAACAAACCACCTTTTTTTTCCTAACCCTAACTGGCATTAGATGAAGTAGTCCTAAATCTACAACACTAAAAACGCTTTAGTTTCAGCTTCTCCGACAGGAGGATTTGTTGTTTTTCTTTATCCAATGTGATTATAAATAGAGACTGACTAGGCCAGTGTTAATAACCAATATATAACCAGTATGCATATGTTGTTCAGTATGGGCCAGTAGGAAAGCTTAGAAACCTAACAGATGCTGGAGATAAGTTATGTTAGCACGTTTTCTTTTCTGCAGAGCAAATCTAGCTGTGGTTTCCACTGTCTGTGGCATTTCTACAGTCAGCAGCTGTCTTCTTCTTTTTCTTCTTCCTCTTCTTTTGGCTGCTCCCTTTTAAGTCCTCCTTTTAAGTATATCTACTGTGTATATAGACACAATATTAGCTAATATATTAATACATTCAAAAAAAATATGTAAACACAAAATGCAAACTAAGTAATTTGATTGCACGTATATCTTCCATGTAATGTGTTACTTAAGTACAATGTAAAACATTACATTTGGGGAAATTTGGTTAAATAAAATGCACTTGATTGGTATGCATTCATTCAGTTTATACCAGGCACATTTCCCTAAAGATTGATTATTGGTATGAATAAACCTTTGATTTAAAATATTTTCATTGCTTTTTACTCAAAATGATTGCTTCATGTTTATGGAGAGCAAAAAAAAGTGCACTTGCACTTTTTATTTATTTATTTAATTTAACCCCCCTCTTTATTAAAGCTCGAATCTATACACACACACACACACACACACACACACACACACACACACACACAGATAGATAGACAGATAGATAGATAGATAGATAGATAGATAGATAGATAGATAGATAGATAGATATAAATCACTGTGAACACAGTGGGATAGAACAATAACATACAAAATTTCAACATTGCAAACCGTTTAACTGTATAAGCTTGTATTATAGTGAAGTGTATAATTTAAGGCGCATGGCAGCTCACCACCTCAGCTCAAACACCTATTATTGGGCGCACAGTACATTAGGTGGCAAAAACATAAAACCGCAAAGCACTTCCACTTCGACTCTAATGTGTTTCCTTATATAAATAGTCACACCTGTTTTCTAACCCTTCTTTTGCCATATAACATCCATCTTCAGGGATTAACCCACCTGGGTTAGCTGTGTGAGTTTGGTTTGCAGCTGTAGCAAAACTCTCAAATATTTCCTTGACTCTAAAATAAGCCACACACGGGCTCTTTCTTTCGTTCACTGAAACGGAAACAAATTATCAACGAGCCATCCTTTTCTCCGAGTTTCTGAAAGCGATTTTTTTTCACATGTGGGAAAAACCCACTTGTTGAAATATCGCTTCAGCTTCGGCTACACAACTGCAAACTTCACAACCAATAAGAAAAAATGTCATTTTAAGGTTAAGACTCTAAAGAACACAATTACATGTTCGTTAGTGTCACATACCTCACTTTTTTTCTTCACACCACACAGTCACGGCCCACGGAGTGCAGGAGGTAAGAGACTCGGGCTCGGGGGGGAAATTTATAAAACGACTCACATCTCGCGATAACTGCGCTCAGAACGTGAACTGAAGCCACTTCAGTCAGTCCCACAGAATGTGAAGCTTGCGCTTATGTAGCATGACTTTGCATTTTTCCCTCCTTTCCTCATGACTTTTCTGGGAATCCACGCTCTTGTGAAACCCAGAGGAGTAAGAAATAAAGGCTGGACTCCAGGAAATAACCTCAAGATTTTGCGTTTGGCGTTAAGTTGTTTAATAATCTCAGAGGAGCTAACCCTCTGTGTTTGAACTATCCCCATTCACTGTAATACACTGAATTATTGATGTAAAACTAAAAATATATAAATGAACAGGTGTCTAATGGCTGGCACTTCCTTAATCCAGGGGTCATATGAGGTTCCATCATAAGACTCAACCTCTTTCACGATGTGCTGCCAATCCATTGTTATGCACAAGCAGTAAATAATAGTATCATATTACTCTTTCAGCTTCACCTCACTTCTGCTGCCTTTTTTCTCATTACCAGTAATATGCAAAGTAACTTACTAGCTCAAGAAACTAGTGATACTCAACCGATGGAGCATATTTTTTTTCCAATTGTCTGTGGACTCATTTCAATGAGGGCTAAGTTCCTCTTTTTCTTTTAAGTAGAAATAACACTTCCCCTAGAAAACAATAGTAAATATACCTGTTTTATACCAAGTACAATAAATCTGTTCACGATTTAGGTTTCAACTACACATGATGTGTTTTAGAAGCACTTCCTTGAAGTCTGGACTTGCCTTTAAATTATTATTGCAACATCTTATTGCTTCTATCCAGTGAGCTGCCAGAAGGTATTTTTCTTTCTAATTTCCTCATCACTCCCACTAGATTTACTGAATGACTCCGCTGTCTGTATTTTCTGTAATCTTGTGAAGAGGAAGTTGCTACATTTTACTTACATTTCTAAGCAAGTCCATTTAGGTAAAAAAAAAAAAAAAAGAAAGAAAAGAAAAGAAAAGAAATGCCCGGTGCTATATGATATGGATAAATAACAAGTAATAAACTATAAATGAACTATTGTGGGTCACCTGTTTGTCTCTCAGGGAGATTAAATAGAAGCTAGAGGCTAATTTTTATTTGAACATGGTGAAGAGGTGCAGCATGGGCAGCATATTAAAATGATTGTTAAGCCAAACCACTTTCTTTCAAACTGCATTTGTCAGAGCCTTTGCAGAGGATGAGTTTTCTGTGTGCCTTTTAACTTAAAGTTTCAGACTCTATGGGACTGTTACTAACACCTAGGAGAGTTACCTGGGGTACCAAGGTGTAATCTAATTACACCAAAGTATTATTGACGTGTGACAGCAAACCTTATGTGTAACAGTTGCTATAATTCAGGAAGAGAAAAAAAACAACAAAAGGGAAGAGAAACCGGTTTCAGGAATCCAGACAGTGGTTAATTTTGAGTTGGGGGGTTTTCAGCTATAGTAGACCTTTTTCAGAGCAGTCATTCTTTTATATGAAAATGCAAAGACAGGTTTTAATTATGACATTAATTCAAACTCTACACCCGAATGATTCAATCTAGTTTTATATTTATATATTTTATTTATTGCACTAAATCACATAAATAGTTGCTTCAAGGCACTTTATATTATAAGGTAAATACTTTACAGTAATACAGACAAAACTCGAGCAATTACACAATCCCCTTTGAGCACGGACTTGGTGGCAGTGGTGAGGAAAAACTCCCTTTCAACAGGAAGAAGCCTCCAGCAGAAGCAGGCTCGGAGAGGGGCCGCCATCTCCCACGACCAGTTGGGAAAGAAGCCCAATCTGTGCTACTGTTAACACCTGTTTACCTATTTATTCATGCCCCAATAGTGTACTGAAAAAAGTGTATTGTGTCCTGTTTGGGAAACCTAAATGAAATAATGTTTTCTCTCACACTAGTGAGTCTAATGCCAGTGCCCTAAACATTTTGGCTAAAACCTTCTGAGTACATATATTATTAAATTCATTTTTAAACTCAGGAAACCAACCACAGTGTGTGTTTTTTCTTCTTCTTTCTATTTTTCAGGTTATGTTAGTTCACCTCAGTCGACCTACAGAGGCTGCTGTCAGTTCAGCCTCTCGCTGTCACCGAGCAGTGTCTTTGCACACTGTTACCATGGAGCTCCATCAAGGGCTAAATAAGAGGGGAGGGCCTACAATAACCTCCTGTTAGAAGCACTGCGGTGGGCTAATGATCAAACACTGCGCTGTGTTCATCTCCTGTCTCACAATATGCCCATAATTAGTACATCTGCTCCCCTAGTGATTCCAAAGCAGCTGGATGTTTGAAGGGCTCTCACACAGCTCTCATCCCAGCTTCATTCAGCCTTGCTGAATAACAAAACAGCTGTAGCAGTCACAGATGTGACGATGGACTGAAAAATGGCTTCAAATGATTGGTGCTTTTAATCCACAATTATTAAATTAGTACAGTTTAGTAAAGCTCATTTAGGGTTATCTGGCTTTATTGGCAGACTTTGAGGAAAGAAAAGCTTTTCTAGTTCTGCTACTTCCAATGACTCAGTATCAGGGCATGGCATTAAAGAAATGCATTGAAAATCATTTGATCTTCCTTAGCGAGTTAGATGAAAAGATTATTAGCTTGTGCGATATGTAGGTGGATTCAGTACTCACTTAGCTTGGCCACCTACAAAGACAGGATACAGGTGGAAACAGAAAGTATTGCTCTGTGTGAACAAAATTCAACCTAGTAGCATCGCTAAAGCTCATAAATGACCACTATAAATCTTTTTGTATGTAATTAAAGTACTTTTTACTATTTTTTAAAACTGAATAATCATATTTCATCCAATATTTTCTTTTGTTTTTGTTTAAAAATATAATGGAATGGAAATCCAAATTCCCCCTTCACCAACATTGTCAGGTATTTAGGGGAGGATGATTTGAAATATATCTGTATGATGCTGATTTGTTGTCAGGTCCAGACTTGTTTTGATGAGGCAGCGGCACACTGGAGTCAGCAGGAGGTGATCATAGGGGAGCTGGAGTATCAGTGCTCCTCACAGCAGGACATGGGAGCAGTGTGTACTGCTGTTTTACATACATGCTGAGTGAAACTAAAACACAGTAATAGCACCATCAAATTCTACTAGATAGGCTATCCTTAAACAGTTACCCTTATACTGAACAACTCTGAGAAACATTAGAAATGAGTAAAAACTTGCATTTTTTGTTGCATTTATGGGTTGAGCAGCAGAGTTGAGTATGTGAGTTTTGCTGTCTGCTTTTGTCTGGTATTGAATTGGATGATTGAAACCAGAAGAAACAACACATATTGGAAAATTTAATCGCTTACTTATTTAACAAGGAGCATCCTCTGTGGTATGTGAAAGACTCATACACAGCTACAAAAGCCTATCACCTGCTGCTAGTCACCAGCTAGGTCCCACAGTGCTGTGGGATGGCGTCCCATTCTTCAAGAGAGTATGTTGGTCACTCTGACACGAAAAGCATGTCAAAGCTGATCCCACAAGCATTCGGTGGGGTTGGCGTGTGTCATCTTGGAGGACATAATTCAGTCCTAGACTGTGGAGATATGGGATTGCTATTGGTTGCAAAATCTCATCTTGACATCTCTCTGCATTGATATCATCTGCAATGTTGACAGTCTGGTTTTTCCAGTAAGGGAGATGTTGCCCCACACCATCACACAGCCTCCACCAAAAGCTGTTACCCTACTGGTGCATCCATCAGCATAATGTTCTCCACAACATCTCAACACTTTGACCCTACCATCCAACAGCTGTAAGCAGAAACTGGACTCATCAATGAACAGTGCTAATCAGCCACTAATCAGGCACCGAAATGTTAGCATCTGGGTTATCTGAAGCTCAAAACAAGAGCCAATAGAAGAACAAGATTTTTGGCAGATAAAATACCCACACACTCAACCAACAAATGCATTTTCCTTACAAATGTGGCACCACTGATGGGGAAAATAAACAATATTTCCAACAGTACAGGATTTATTGCTAAAAAGCATTGTTACAACAAAGAAATGATCACCTACATTTCTTTACTTTTACTTACATAGTAAAATACTATACCTTTGCAAAATGATCCAATAAATGACTCAATAATGGTACGTTTTATTTCAATCATAGTTTTGGTTTTTTCTTTACTGTGATGCCGCTGTCTATTAACTAAGACAAAAAAACATTCACACTAAACAGCAGGTCACAGAAATAACTCTGACCTGATCTAACCATGTAACATTTATGTCACATTTGTGTGGGTAATTTACATATTTGAAGACATTTTCTTCAAAATATCCTATTTATTTAATATTTTGTAATTGTGTTGTTGTTCTTGTTGTTGTTTTAGTGGTGACATTACTAGAAATAAAAAACAAAATGACCAAAGGTTCTTAAAAGTGTTGCAAAACGACCTTAAGATCCCCAGGCAAGCTTTAGGGAACACTTCCTGAAGGTCTCTTAAAGATTAATGGTTGTTGGGACTGTTTCATAGTCAAAGAAGCCCGTGTGTACAATAATAACAGGGCTGCCGGCATCAACGGTACTCATTATAACAGTTTCAATTGATGTTTTTAGTATTGCACTGGAAGGATTAGCAGTATAATGAATAGGAGTGGTAATACAAGGAGCAGTATAACAATAGCAGCAGAAGTACTTGAGGTAGTAATGCGTGTAACTGTAGCAGCGGTACTTGCAGTCCTCTTGTTAGTACTTTGTACCTTTAAGAATTCTCCCGCGCGGGTCTACAATTAAGGAAAGCGACCGGAAGGAGCAGGGGTATTTCGCGCCAATTTGAAACAACGGAACACAGTCAGTCTGAGCGGCACGAGACACGAGCTGGGACGCGCGCGCCGCCGGGGGTCTTTTTTCTTTTTAAACTGTTCTTTCCCGTCAAAGGTGTGTAGTGGCATCTCTGCTATTTAAACTTAAACGATACAAACTGGTACCAAAGGCCGAGGTACAGTTTGACCTGAGCTGAGAGTCCAGGCAGGGAGCTGAGCTG